TAACTAAGAATCTAGAGCTATTGACTAATGACAATCGAAGCAAGGAATAAGCAAAGAAAGATGTCAATGGGAGAAAATAGGGTTTTGATAGGATAGGTGCAAGATAATTGTCTGGATTTAACTCTAGTTAATTCACTTCTAATGTTCAAGTGAGTCTCTCGAATTTAACTCCATGAACCATAGACATGGAGTAATTCATCACAAATATGATAAAAAGATAGAAAAACATAAATTCAATCCAAACTCGGGTCTTGAGTGAGGAAGGAATGATGAAATCCTTGTGCTCGTGTTCTTCCAACTCCTTCTTAGCCTCCTTAGGTCGAATATGTGTCAAAAGTCTTGAAAATAACGTTTTTCCATGTATTTATACAAAGTAGGGTCGGGCCTTGACGAAATCACCTTCTCCTAGCCGAAATAGCATTTTCACTCTGTAAAAATTACATAGGCGCACCGCATGGGGCGACGCGCCATGCGGGGCATTAATGGGGAAATCCAGAGAGCTAGTTTCTGACAGACAGCAGGAAAATGCACAAGCGTGGTGCCCCACACGCTGCACCACGCGTCGAGGCAGTAAGGGATTCTCAGAGTACAGATTTTTCCTTGCTTTTTGACGTCCAGACTTGGTCCTCGACCCCCGAACACGATCCTGGCTTAATCCCTTGGGCTTTTACTCAAACTTCAAAGCTCCAAATCTCTTGAATTCATTCCATAACATCTACATAGCTTGGAATCACTCCTACAAGGTACAAAATACACAATTAGTGCAAATCACTAGTGATTAAAGCTCAAACGCAGTAAATTAGAGTGCAATAATCGACTAAAACCCGAGATTATAGCCTACCATCAGTATGGTGGATTTTGATATGATCTTGGGTATGGAGTTAGCTAATATTGTACACGCGCTCCAGATCAGAAGGCATTACTTATATCGCCTGTCTTGTGAATTGTATACGGATTTAATTATTATTCTATCTTTGATTTTAGCATTTGATTGGTGAATCTAAGAGAGAAAAATTGGGGGTTTTGGCAAAACTTTTCTAATGTGAAAAATGGATATTTGAACCCCGATTTGGAGTTGGTTTTGAATGAAACTTATTTATTTAGATTTGTATCCGAATGGATAGTCGGGAATTGTGACTTTTGTCAGGTTCCAATAAGCGAGCCCCGGTTGACATTTTTGTTGATATTTTGTTATTTGATAAGATTGGAATCAATTTCTATAGCTTTGTTTGACGTTATTGGGTTATTTTAACTAAATTCGAGCCGTTTAGAGTTGAATTTTTGAGGAATTTGCACTTTTGGTGATTTTAAAGCTACCGGGTGGAGGTGAATCTCTTGGCTAATCTTGTTAAAAGGGAAACCTCTAGATTTGAATTATTTGCTAGGTGTTTAAGGTGTTGGGGGTATTGTATATACGTGATAGCGAGCGTATATGCATTTAACAAGTTTATATTATAACCGGAGTAGAATTGGATTATTGTACGCCTTGTTTTGTCTACGTGCTCAATATTAAATAATTTATTTGACTTATGGGACTACGTTGCTCTCTTATTCATGTTAGAAATTATGCCTAGGCTTGTGATTAATTGTGAAGGCAAGGGAACTTAATCTTTATATGTGAAATTGCATAATTATCCATAGTTACATAGAGATTTCGTTAACACATATCCATATGATATTTATTAAGTCTTTGTGCACCTTTTATCAATAATACTTGAGCATATACATACATTTTGAATATGGATACGTGATTTGGACTAAGAATTTTGGCACGAATAGTAAGCATGTGGATGAAATACAGTTACAATATATTGGACATGATAATCGGATATTGATTTATGAGGGGTGTTATTATGCCCCTCTTTGCGCTTGGATTTGGATCCGTCCCTCCAGAATCAGGTGATTACCCATGTTACCTTGGGCCCTGTGAGCGTGGTGGGTACATGAATTTTATACCTGATCGATACATGGATTATGTATCAGATTATGTTGATATATGGATTGTCTATCAGGGTACATAGATATTGTACCGGTTGAGCATGCATTCTTATTATTGACTCATTTAGAAATATTATTTTAACTATTAATTGTTACTCGACATCCTTATATGCTAATGGGAGTCCACGCAACGTTATTTGAGCATGTTATCTTTTATTTCGATATCTGAGCGGCGTTATGGTTATTTATGTCCCAGAAAAGCATGCTTAATACTTTTCAACTGTTGATATTTGTTACTCTTGTTATTCACGATGTTACTTATTGTTCAGTCGTTAAATTATGTTATTATATTTGTGTGGTAAGTATTTGGAAGCATCTAGCCTCGCCACTATTTTTTCGAGGTTAGACTTGATATTTACATGGTGCCGATTGTCGTGCACTCATACTACATTTCTGCACATCTTTTTGTGCAGATCCTCTGGTGGGACCTAGGAGATTTCACAGAGACTTAGAGTGAGCTTCACTTCATGGATCTCTTGGCAGTTACCGAGTCTCTATCCCTTTTATATATTTTTGTCTATTTGTATTTCAAACAGCTTGACATGTATACAAACTTGATCTTATTTTCTTAGTTTTCTCATGTACTTGTGCCACCTAGTCTTGGGGGTGTATTGTATTGGCCATGTTTAGGCAGTGCTTTGGTTTTTATCAGATACTATCTATTTCTATCTTTTATTCTTATATATCTCTGTTAAATAATAAAAATAGACTTTATTTGTTATTTGTGAGTTGACTTACTTAGCAAGTTCGTCTAGCATCACGACCTTAAGGTGGGATTTTGGGTCGTGACAGTAAGTATCAAATCTAATCTCGAAGAAGTAGTAGCGAGGCGATAGGCATCATGATACTTGCAATACAGATATAGATAACAAAGCTTAGAATCGAAACAATAAATATCCTCATGAACAACAGGTATCAGAGATATAAAACAGTCGTAAGATATAAAGCATATTTTTTCAATTCGAGAGATAATGTTAACGCTACTCTGATATGGTATTTAAAGATGGCATGCTTCAATCAACAGATTCGAGGCTCCCGACTAGCATACAGAGGTGACATGCGACAGTTAACATTTAAATGAGTCGACGATGTCTATGCATGCTCAAGACTCTATCTCTCACCATAATCGATACAAGATCCATGTATCACGATACACCATCCATGTATCACCGAAATCCGGCACAAAATTCATGTATTACTGAAACCCGATACAAAATTCATGTATCATTGAAACATGATACAAATCCATGTATCACTTAAACCCAATACACAATCCATGTATCGATCACGTTCGTAGGGCCCAAAGTAACATGGGTAATCACCTAACTCTAAAGAGACAGATCCTTATCCAAGTGCAAAAGGAGGTTGATAGTTAACTTATAATCAAATATTCACTCATCATGTCTTGTGTGCTGTAACTGTATCTCAACCGCACAACTTTACATTCCACAATCTCAGTCCAGCTCAAGTATCCATATATAAAATGTATGCATATGCCCAAGAGTTAATAGATAAAATATGCACAAGGACTTAATAATAGTCATGCAGATATGTGCTCATGAAATTTCTAAATTACTACAGATAGTTCAAGCAATTCAACATATCAAGAATAAGCTCCCATGCCTTCATAAACAACCATAAACCTAGGCATGATCTCTAGCATGAATAAGAGAGCGAATATAGTCATATAATCCAAATAAATCATGAATCAAGATGAGCACATAATCAAAATAAGGCTATAGTATCTCAATTCTATCCCGGATATGATATAAACTTGGTAAATGCATATACGCTCGCCACCTTGCATATACACTACACCAATACTTTAAGCACATAGCAATTAAATCAATCCTAGGGTTTTACCTCTTAACAAGGTTAGCCAAGAGACTTACCTCCACACGGTAGCTAGAAATCAACCGAAAATGCCAAATCGTTAAGTCCAATTCCAACCGGCTCGAATCTAGCCAAGTACAACCCAATAATATCAAATAAAGTCATAGGAAACAATCTCAAACAATAAAGTTTCGATCTTTAATCAAATTTTCAAAAGTCAACAAAAATTAATCCAGACCACATGGTCAAAATCCGAGTCAAGGGGTAGATCCGACTACCTACAAGCCCACGAGTCCAAAGATGAAATTAGATTCCAAATTCAAGTCCAAATCGATGTTCAATACCCCAAAATACACTCTCCTAAGTTGTAGGTGAAAATTTCAAATTCCACTTGTTCAATCTCATGTTTTGATGTTAAATCTAGTGATGATTCATGTAGAACTATTAGATGTAGGTTAGAATCAGTTACCTCAAACTTGTAAAGTGCCCTCTGCACTTCTAAAGCTTCAGAACATCATCAAAGTGCTGAAATGCCTAAACTTGTTCAAAACTCACCCGAACCTCTCGGGACCCCGTTCTATTATCTTAACAAATCCATAAACACTATCCGGGCATATTCAAGGTCTCAAAACACATACGGAAATATCACATCTAAGAATCAAAGACCAAACCACATGTTGAACTCTTTTAAGTTCAGAAACTTCTATCCTTCCAACCAAGCATCCGAATCATACCTAGGCACTTCGGAGTGCCATCAAACTTTGCACACAAGTTTCAATCAAGTAAATGAACCTATCTTAAATTCTGGAACACCAATAAGAACCCGATAACATCAAAGTAAACTCTAGGTCAAACCTTCAAATTGCTAACTTTCGGCAAATAGAGTCAGAACCTTCTAGGAACCTCCAAATCCAAATACGCCCAAGTCCAAAATTACCATCAAATCACCAATCCTATGTTGTTTTCTCAAAAGTCAAACCGTGGTCAACGCTTCCAACTTAAAACTTCCAAATTGAGAGTTACTCTTCCAAATCAACTCCAAACTTCTCGAAAATCAAAACCAACTATACACGCAAGTTGTAATGCATCATATGAGGCTACTCAAAGTCTTAATCATCGGACGAAAATACTAAAGCCCAAAACGACCGATTGGGTCGTTATAAAATACTGATCAAACTGGTACTGGTACCTGGTAACTCTACTGGAACGGTCACTGCATACTATGTAAGTGTGCGCTTAGATGCTCAAAGAGACAACAAACAATTAACCATAGTCCTTTCATGATCTTCTCATAAAGATTTTAAAAAATACTATAGTCAGTAACATGTGAAGGGTATAATATATCATATAGATAAACAACTATGCTAAAGCATTTCCTGACAATTGATAAACGATGATAATAGTTTACTCAACGAATAAATTAAAAACAAGACGGTAGAGTAAGATAGTGCCACACATGAAGTATCTAATATCTGTTTATTGATTCCACAGCTATCTAGTCAACAGAAAATCACTGGTGACAAGCATGATGAGATCGGCTTTGAGTTTCTAGGGAATGTATCAGGACAACCCTATATTATCCACACTAACATTTTCACTCAAGGCGTAGGAGGCAGGAAACAGCAATTATATCCATGGTTTGGAATGGACCAGGTAGCATCACCAAACAACTGAGCCACGCTAAGCAGGTCAAATGGCCTGGGTCAGGAATAATTACATGATATATGACTACTGCAAAGACTTAGACTAAGTTGAGACTTAGCAGGTCAAATCGAGTTCACATTCCAGTTGTTTCATATCCTATTTCACGCACAAAGTTGAGATGTATTTTGTTTTCTTCTGGTTCATGTTCTTATTTCATGTCTACCCCTTGTTTACCCAGAATTTGTACCTCATTCTTTTGAGTGAATATTGGTTTAAATATTCGGTTTCACTGACCGTAAATCTTTTATATTACCGGATCAATACATACAATATAAGAGATTTTTTATTATAAGTTTATATTGACTCCTTCCAGACACATCTCAAATATTTACCCTCAACTTTCAATATCACAATAAGACAGAAAGCGAACGAGGTGCAACAGTGCAAGCACAACAAGAGATAATCACTTTCAGTACATCAAAAATCTCATTTGTTTATAGTATTCAAAACTTCTACATGACAAGGTCTTTTTGGATGTAATTAGGCCAAATACATATGTGGCCCTTGAAATTATCACAATTTTTCATTAAAACACTTCAACTAAACCATGTCCCTATTAGACACCTAAAGTAAATTTAAAGTGTACCATTGAACACCTTGCTGACAACGAATCAACAAAATAATGTATGTGTGATACACATGCGAGTGATGTGGCAAAAATGAGATGCAGACACATGGCATTTGGGTAAAAAAAAAATATAGAAAAGACGTTTTGATCCACAAAATAGAAAATCTTTTTTCACATTAATCCCCAATAGGAACAAAGATTTAACCTGGTTGGGGATTAATGTGGGAGGCGGATAGTAAGGGTGACAGGATAATGTGAAATCATGTTAGAGTGTCTAATAGGAACAAAGCTTAGTTTGGGTGTCAAAATAAAAAATCGTGGCAAGGCTGCATATGTATTTGGCCATGTAATTACTTGAACCATATCTAGTACACAATATCATGGGCAAGGGAACTGTATGTTGACCATCTTCTGCTGCTGCATAGAGCTATGATTGATATCCGTTGTTTAGGAGTAGAAATTCTGGAAAACTGAAGCCCTGAATAGGAAGGGCTGAGGAGTCATTTCCCATGCTCTAATGTGGTGGACAGAGAAAATCAAAGAGCTTTTGTGGGTGTTGAGAATAGCTTATCCCATATACAAAGCATTTCTTCATTTTACGAGTACTTTTGAGCACCATGACAATTCCAATTAGCTGCTAATTGGATGAACTCTTACATGAACATTGTGTTTTTTTCAGACTACTAGATCTCTGTACTTGGATACATCCATTTTTAAAACAAGATCGTCTACCAGTCAAATAAACAAAGACTTACATTACAGGAAGCTGAAACCTAAATACAATGTGAAAAGAATATTAAAGTTTCTTCACAACCAAATAGAGACGACAAGACAGAACTTTAAGTAAAAGATAGGGAAATGTTTGCTTGGTAAAAGGATACATAATTTATCAGGAAAAGAGTGTCTAAGGAGAACATAGCAGGTTTTATAGAACTCCGCTTCTTTCTATCCCCCTCTTTCTTTTGAAGGATCTGGTCCTAAGCAAAGAGGCTAAGATAATCTGGAATATAATTTCAGCTTGTGTGCTGTGGGTCATTTGGAAATGATAGATGATTTGAGGGGAAATCAGAACCTATTCTCAGGCTGAAATATATTGTTCACATTTTCATGCTCTTTGGTGTAAACTGAAAGATTTATATGTAGTGATAAATTTAATAGATTTCCCAAGTAATTTACAGGCATAACCTGTCGTTGCTCATCACTGTTGATTTCCTGCACCTGCTTAATGCTATTACAGTTATGAATAAAACTTTATTTTGCTTATCAAAAAATATTAATAGGAGTAGTCCTACAAGGAAGCATATGGGCAAAGAACCAATAGCTTTCGCGCAGCTCAGTCTTAACACATACAGAAGCAAGCAAAGTGCCAACCAACAATCAGACAGGCCAACAGCTTTCAGTTAGTATACCATTTCATATAACAGTGAAAATCATTAGATTCAATCTGCTAGAACCTTCACTGCTTATTAGATCCTACAATAAAATCCAAGGAATACCTGAACAAAGTGAACCACAAAAATGAATTGCAGACCAAATCTGAATCATGTGACTGACTCATGCAACAGGATTAGGCCAGAAATGGATTGTCTCAAGCTAAAGGACCTCATTTTTTTTTCCGTTTCATTGAATCTCCTTGAAAATGTATTTGAAGTTCTTGTGGCCCTTAAACTAAAAGGAAATACGGAAATAAGAGATTTTAGTCTTGGAGGTAAGAGTCTAGAAGCTTTCTTACTATATTTTTCAATCAAGATTTAAGTGTTTTTGGCAATAACTTGTTGATTGCTTTCTAATTATGGCTTCACAATGGATTTTAGAACCAAGTGTAAGAGTAAACTTAAAATTTCCCACTTAAGGTCACCCCACGGAAATTTGTGATGATATAGTTGTCCTTGAAACGAGATCTTGTGGATGTGAGGGATTGAATGGTGTAACTTTGTTGTCCTCGTTCTTCTTGTGCACAAAGTTTGCATATAAGATTTGCAACCATCTCAAACTTTGGAGAGTAACATGGAAAGGTAAGGAAAAGGTGAAAATATGTTTTCAAGTTTTGAAGGTGAGCGAAGAAGATAACTAAAGAAACATAAAAAGCTAGCAACAGACTACAGTTTTACGGAAGCCTATGCAAATACCCAAATGAAAAACTTATGAATTTGATAACACCATATAGCATACAGCCTTGCTATCTGAAATTTGTTCTCTACATTATTCAATTCATGATAGCCTGTGTCACTATTCCCTTGTCCATCCTAGCTGAAATTTTCCTAATGAGCATTAACTGGGAAAAAACCTAGCAACACCCTATAAACCAATAGATATTAACTCTAAAAGGAGCGCTAGTCAATCAATCATAGTTATGTGTTAATTAACCTAAGTCATGCATCTATTGTGTTAGTGCAAATACTGGGATAAGCAGGATAGGCGCATCTCATGAGTTCCAATCTTACTGTTGAACCAAGTCCAGTATTTAAGTGGAGAAGGATAGAGGGGCGGGCCTATTAGTTTGGCTATCAAAAATATGGGGGATAAATTTCTCCTATTAAATGCACCTAGTAGGGATATTAACAAACCAAATTGACAAGATCATCAACATTTCAATCCAGATAATTCCCAAATTTTCTATATTTATTCAGGAAAAACAAAAACAAAAAACTTTCTAGGGATTATTATATATAAAAACAAAATTCCCTATTCAGCATTATAAATGAATCTATCAGATCACACAAGATCCAAAAGGAAGAGTTATTCAGAAGTGATTACATAATACAAATATAAACACCAAGAACAATAAGAGAGGTACCAAAAAGAGCAAGACCAACGCGGGTCTCTTCACCAAGAATCAATCCAAATACAGCAGTGGCAGCGAAAGTGGTGGCATTGGTTACAGGAACAGCTAAAGAAATGGGTGTATCACTGAGTATTGCAAAGAAAGTAGCTGAAGCTGACAGGTTTAGGAGAAACGGCAAAGAATACTGCCATATCAAGACAAGTTTGAGCCAATTCTTGAGACTGGCCATTACTGGGTTCTGGGGCGTGTTTGGTTGAGGTAAAGATTTGATGGTTTCGTCCCATTTGATTGCTCCTTTTCGCATCAGGGCATTCGTCGCTCCCCAAACAAGGCCTACTGCCACCATCTTCTCCACTTCTCCTACCATCTTTTAGTGACTTTGGATTTGCTTCTGAAAATATTTGGGAGCAGTTCAATTTTAGTTAAGTGAGTCCATATTTAAAGAAATGAGCAAAAGAAAAAATTATCATAAAGATGCCATATTATAAACACTATTTAAGTACATTGTTATAGGCTTGTAGCTTTCCCGGATGAATTTTCGTATTTTAAAATGTATTCATAATACAACAACAATAACCCAGTATAATCTCACTAGTGGGGTCTGGGCAGGGTAGTGTGTACGCATACCTTACCCCTACCCTTGGATAGAGAGTTTGTTTCCGATAGACCCTCGGCTCCCTCCCTCCAAGAACTCCTACCTCGCTCTTGGGATAACTCGAACTCACAATCTCTTGGTTGGAAGTGGAGGGTGCTCACCACTAGAGCAATCCACTCTTATCAAACCTTAAATAAATAGTCTTAAATAATTCGTCTAAAGTACCAAAAACACTTTCTCCATCACTTCAATTGACCTTTTGTTTACCCTAAAATTGGATAACAATTGAATTTATACGCGGTTTTAAGGACAAGTGATATAACTTGGTACAAATTAAAAAGAATAAATTAATATTGATATTGACGATGAAAGAAATAATACAAACCACACGAATTGAACAACTTTGACCCTCGAGTTCAGTCACCCTTGAACTAAATATGTTTCAACTTGCTTATGAACAGAATAACAAGATAATGAAAGCTAGAAACAACAACAACAACAACCCAATATAATCCCACTAGTAGGGTTTGGGGAGGGTAGTATGTACGCAGACCTTACCCCTACCATGGGGTAGAGAGGTTGTTTCCAATAGACCATCGGCATCCTTCCCTCCAAGAATTCCCCACCTTACTCTTGGAGTGACTCGAACTCACAACCTCTTGGTTGGAAGTGGAGGTTGCTTACCATCAGAGCAACCCCTCTTGTCAAATAATAATGAGAGCTAGAAAATGACAGTATATTGCTTAATATTGCGTGAATATGATGTGTTTACAAATGATTAGACCCCACTTTATATAGTAGGGGAGTCCTACTATATATACAATTCAATATGAGGTAAGAAATTCCATAATTGGCTAATTAATCGGCCTCTTCTTGATACATGCTGGGATACACGCCGTGATCCCCGTCCGATTACGGATATTTCGGTTTTCCGTTATTTGGATCGATAAGCTTCCCTCGATCTCTTTATTGTTCGGTCTCGATCTTGGTCGATCTCGATCTTGATCGGTCTCAGGACCACG